CACTGGCATGTTTTTAGCACTCATTATGCCTAAATAAAAAATTCCTTGCAAAATCTTGTGTCTGTGAAATTATGAATAATTGAATCTACTTTATAGCTACCATTGCCTATAACAACAGGTGTTGTAGTTATCATTTGGAATGTACATTTATTTGGTTTAGTTTCTGCAGTGCCTAGCCTTGCAGTGGCAACCATAATAGGGCCAAATCCTTGGCTGGGACCAGTGTAGGACCTCTAGAATAAATAAAAAACAATGATTGTTTTAAGACTTTAACACTTAAGAATGTGCTTAAGGTTAAGCATATGAACAGTGTCAGTGATCCTAGTCCTTAAAGTAGAAAGTACTAAACTTTTCTTATAACAGTTTTTCTTCTTGACAGCAGCAAATCAGTAAAAGGACAGTCTGTTTCTGTGGAGACACTCAACAAAGGTTCCTTTTTTTATTACTGTCCTGTTGTACTTAGTATACTCAGTACTGCCACTTTAAAACAGTCTATCCATCATTAAGGAGCAGTACTTTTCTTCTTAAAAGGAGCGAAGCTAATTTCTGTGGAAAGTACAGATACGTGCCTAATCTAAGATCATTCTGCTTGTTGTTTATTGTTGGAAAGCTGGAGGAATATAGAAAAAAATAGAAAAAAAATTGCTTCAAGTAGTTCTTGTCCATGAGATAGCATTGATGGAACACAAAGAGAGAGAAAACTTATCAAACGACTTCATTGTAACTGTCAAAAGCATGAACAAATACAAATCAATGGTATACTGATAAACTTTCAAGGAAAAAAAAATTAATACCATCTCTTATGGTAAACTTCTAAGGGTGAATTTAAGTGTTACAGAGCTTTTACTCAATACTAGCTGAGCTGGAAAATTTACTTGATCAGAATCAAACATGCATACATACATGTACACAGCTTTACAGAGGTGAGCAACCCTGACTGATAGGAACTATTCACATGTGCAAGTGCAGCCTATGCGTAAGTGTTGGCAAAATCTGAGCCCTAGTGCTCCAAGCTGCAGTAATTACTCAAGCCAAGCTCCCTGTTGCAGACCTGGATTCTAGTTTTGGTTATTATTGATTTTTTTTTCACTGTAAGTAAATAATTTGATCTCTTTGTACATCAGTTTCTCGCCCACTAAACGGGTATAATGATCACTACCCAGCTTGGAAAAGCACTCCAAAGAGCTGCCTATAAAAAAATTCTACAGAAGAATGAAAGTTTAAGCAAGGGTCAAACTCTGGCTTTATTGCTTTGAAATGAATTCATGCGAATCAATCAGGAGATGGCATCGTTATTGGGCTAAGAAACTAACAGCATATAAAGTCAGTAATCATCTAATATACAGTAGTTCAGGGTAAGAATGGCAATTTTAAAAACTAGTCTGAAATTGCCACTGAAAGCAAATATTGAACACAGAATTTCTACGTGCAACCTTGGAGGACTGAAAAAAAAAGATTAGAATAATGATTTCAAATACTGTCAATGTAAGGAAAAGAAAACTGAGAATGTAATAAAAATGAGATGTTAATATTATTAACATCAGGAGTTTGGTGTGTAAAAGCTTTAGACTTTAAGACTTACATTATTTAACGTTCTCATGTTAGTTACAATATCTACTAATGGAGCCACAAGGAGAAGCAGCAAATACAAATCAGAAACCCTGAACTTCTGACCCATATTTCTAAAATACTGTAACTAGTAATGTAAATATGGAGCACATAATATAAGGAAAAATCAATGTTGCACCTTTTATGTGGCTCTAAAATAATTTTTTCATCAACTCCATAAGAAATCAGAAGTCAGTCAGTCAAACTTGGAGACACGCACATACAAAACTTTTACACTCTAAAATGTAACACAAAATTAGTTTCAAATTACTGATCCAGCTAACAGCGACAAAACCAGCAAGTGACAGAAAAGTATTACTACATTTGGTATGTGTAGGAAAATACTGTATGTCATAGGGGTTTTAATTCTGCATTAAAACAAACTCAGAGATATAAAACATATTAAGCTAAACCAACATGACTGGATTATAACTACAAGAGTAATAAAGGTCAGAAGATTGCTTTAGCCTGTCAACCCTTACCAAATAGAGATATATAGTTTAACATATTTGCATACTTGGAAAAGTTGCTTCTTTATTAGTTTTACCCAATAAAAGTTAACTTTTGTATTCTATTTCAGCAAGGAAATGCAATTTATTTCTATTGTTTCCTCTTCCAGCAAATCTTTACCCAAACAAGACATCTGTACACAACACTATGTAACCTTTATTTAAATGGAAAAGATAGCTGAATTAATAAATGATTTCTAGCTTGGTTTAATTTACTTTAGCCTTGGTTCCCTTAAATAATGTCAGGGTCTCGTACTTACATGTTCCTCCTTACATGTTCCATCAATTCCATCTACAGAGTGTGTATACCCAGCAGTGCAACAAATGGACAGAATATAACATTTTAAAAGATCACAGACCTTATATACATCAAGCTAAACGGTAACTTATACTGTCAGACAGAGACATGTAAACAGAGAAGCACTTACCCCAGTTTCGATTACAACAAGTACAAAGTTTGTAAGAGTCAAGATCTATGAATACTTCAGTGAGATGCAGTATGCAGCTGCTGCTTTAAGCCTGCAAATTGGACAGTACTGACATTATAATCAACTGCTTCTGACACAAAGCTCGCGAGAGTTGGTCTCAGCAACTTGATCTGTAGGCAGCCGTTCTTTAGTATCAGACATCTGTGCAAAGGCTAATAGTAAAGTTGTAGAAATGCTTCAGAGTTCGCTGGGTTTGGAGCAATCAAGGATTAGGTTTTATCAGCAAGGGATAATAAAATGATCTTTAACACAGGGCTGCAATTCTGTAACATGTTAGGCTGTAAAAATAACAACAAAATCATAAATAACTGACCTTTGCTTTTATATGTCCTTCTGTCTTCCATGACAAGCCATTTCTACCTTCCTTTTTTGTCATTTGTAATTTTCAAGATTTGTGCATGCTTCTGGGGAAAATATGTAAAATAACTTAAACTACTATTTTTCCCTGAGGTTATTATTTCTAGCTATCATCAGAAGGAGAGAAAATGAGAGCAATGCAGATACACCATCAAGTAACAAGAATCAATTGTATGATCTGAAGTTTGAAGCTTCAGTGTCAATTATGTTGGGGCATGGTGGGAGAATAGTTAAGATCTCTTACTCGGGCTCCAGTGTCACAAGTTCATGCCTTGTTGCGTGCTAAAAGTTGCATATGTCTTAGCTGTAAATGGCTACATGGTCATTCATGCTATGGAGGAAATGTTGACTGGATACAACACTTACCACATTACACTCTTGTGTGGTCGGCTATAGAAACTGGCCGGCATACCTTAACTATGGTAGCCCAATGGCCATTTGGCTTTATTTCTTGCTATGCATAGCTGTGGCTTGTATTTCCAATTGTTGGTTTTAAAATGTTTACATGTATGACCTTTCTGTACATATTCCCTATTTCCTCAACTTGAAGAAATAAGATATCATCAGAACTTGTAACTGGGCAGTAATTAACATGGACTAATGTGCTCTTTGGATGACTCTGGACTGACACATTCTTCTTCTAATGTATGTTGTTACAGCATTCATGAAGAGTTTTCAGCTTAAATCAGAAAGAGACAAGGAGTAGAAAGAAGCAAGCATCTTATGGGGTCACTCAAGAAACCTATGCCAGTCAAGAAGTGAACCCAGACAGATAATCAGTCCAGAGCTTGCCCCGCCTTCCTACCACACCCAGCTTTCTCTGGCACTACAGTAAAGGAAGACAACAAACTTTTTCCTCTCCTCATATGATCAGCCTCACCTCTCCCTACTCCCTACATGAACAGCATGAAATTTTATTTTGGCTGGGAGATGAAGCAATAACTTTCACTAGATATAATAATCAAACTCTAGTTCAACTACCCAAAAGCAATATTAATTGTTAATGTATGAAGCAAAAGGAAAGCAGAAATAAAAGGTTAAATATAAAGTGCATAGAACTTAACTTGGAAATTGGTATAAAATTCAAGAAGCTAACATTAAATGGGGATTGGTGCAGTAAAGAAGCTTGCACTAAAAACGTAATATAATTTCTCTTAGGATATTTAAGAGATATCCTTTAGGCTCACATGTCTGTTAGGAATTCCTTGCAACATGCCTCTGTGAGAGTGTGTCACTAGGCCAAATCCAAAGCCCAGTTAGAGGTCCCCATGGCTTTAGCGTGAAAGTGTCAAACATACATACTAGTTTGGGATTAAAGTTTCTTGGCCTAGATGCTGAGCTCAGTTACACAAGTACAAATCCTTAGTGATTCAATAGATTTTAACTAGAAAAACTTGTGAGCAGCCTCTAACTCCCTATTATTTAAGTATCATGAAATATAATTACCTACTTGAAAGTAAGATTAAGTTACTGGGGGCCTGTGATTAACTTAAACCAGGAAGGGGTCTGGGGCAGAAGTTCCACAAATTGGCTTGATCCAAATCAGTTAAGTCTGATACTACATTCAACAAGATTTATCTTAAATCAGTTTCAGCCGTGTTGAAACTGGTTTATGTGCACTGAACTTATGTTCTGTTACAGGCTTAAACCAGTTTCCGATCACCTAAACTAGTTTATGGTGTAACTTCTGTCCCTAGCCAAAAGGAACAAACACACCAACCTTACAGAAACTAATAATGTTGTCTGTTTCCTATTTTAACTTGAAAACAAGTCTTCTAGGATAGCCTAAAAATTACAACAAACATCCATCATGCAGACTGACTAAATTCAAGGTGTCAGGGTTTTTATGGGAGGTATAATAAAATGTACTGGTTTGATTTGTGGATCTTTCATCATGTGTAGGTAGTTGGAGGGCACCACTATGGTTGTTTTACTGACCTCATCCATGTGCCTTTCTATGGGCTAGCATTTGAGATATGGCACAATAAGTGGTACATCAGGATGGACAATCCAGGATGTGTTTAAGGTATTAGTTATAGGTGCTTTTCTGTTTTGTTTTGTTTTGTTCTGTTCTGTTCTGTTTTGTTCTGGTGGTTGAAGACATTTTTAGAAATTATTCGTATCTTTTGAATCAACTTAAGGGGGGGGGTTTCTGCTTAAAATTAACAGAGAAATGAAAGTCATCATTATGAACTATGAAAAAAATCCCATGTGTGTTAAAACTTAAGAGTGAATACTAGCATAAAAGTTGTAAACACCTTCAGTAAGGTTAGAGATATTGGATATACTGGCTGTTTTTCACAGTATTCATTTAGGACTACTGAAGGAAAATATACAAAATAGCAGAGATACTGATGATGATATGCAATATCTTACAACGAGAGAGGAGCAACTGTTACAGTATAGTCACTTTGCTTTCTTCCGCAATGAAACTAAAGAGTATCTTGGAAAACACAGATTGTTTGCTTGGCCTCAGTTCAAGTGAACATACATGAGAGTGTCATTAAAAATAGGTTTGTATTGCACTTGAATAAATAATCTCTGAATGGTGCCATAGATATATATTACTACTACTACTACTACTACTACTACTACTACGTAATTATCTAAAAAATACAGAATGATCATGATTAGGTTTTATAATTGGCTCCCTTTTGGTTAGAAAATGTTAAAATGCACACATACATACACATTTATTGGATAAATATAGTCCGAAAAAATCCTTTTAAATTTATGCCAATATATCTGTATTATCTATTTGTTTAATGTATGGCTTGCTACAATGTCCAGCACCCATGCTTTGTATGGCAATGTATATGTTAGTACAAAAATGCATTCTACATTAATTTAGAAATGTGGTAGCAGAGTATTTTATAATCTAGGCGGAAAAGTACATCTATGCCCAACCATAAGATAATTGGTTTGCTAAACACTAAGGAAACTATCTGAAGTTTACAAGGAGCTTAGAGAAAACACTATTGAACTACAAAGTATTATTATGTTTATAAGCAATTTTAGTAAATTAAATGTGTGGGGGGTTTTTTGTTGTTGTTTTTCTTCCTTTCTTTTTTTTTTTTTGCATGAGTAGCCTAGATTCAGTACCTATTGAGATACACTGATGAAATCAGGAATAACCCAGAGCAGCCTGAACTCTATTGTAAGCCATAATAAGTGATAGGCCTAGTTATTTTATAAACAGTTTGATTGACCTCCTACAACCTCAGACAGGCAAGAGTATTTCACTCTCAAATGGAGTATGCTGAACTTTGAGGATCTCACTTTTATCAGCTCTTTTCTTTTCATATGGTTCCTTGAACCAAGGCTGCTTTTTGACTACTGGACATCAGTACTCTCCTCCCAGAAAGGATTCATTCTTGTTCTAATCCATTGACAAACAGCCTGCTATTTCACCATCACAAAGAAAGTGAGCGAAAAAGTCACATTTTATCTGACTTTTGTGTCAATATGTCTAAGACAAAACCTTTATTATAAGCAGGAATCAGCACAGCTACAGAAAGTAAAAACTTTACCACTGAAAAATATTTCAGCTGTTTGTTAAGGTTAACAGGATGAGAATCATTTACTAAGATTTTTCAAGCAGCCTTCAATATTGCACCCTTGTAAAGACTCCAAAAGAGCCATTTACAAAGTGCTATTTTAATAAGAGTGATGTAGCCATGACAGTCCAGAAATTATGCAATAGAGCAGGATTTCTTAGGGTGATATCTTTTATTGGAACAACTAGAATCAGACAAGCTTTCAAATGCAAGACAGCTGACAAAATGTTTTGCATTCAAAACCTTGCCTAACTACCCCAACTACATAGATTGTCTAATAAAAGATATCATCCTAAGGTATCCTTGCCTATTTTAGTAAGAACCATGTAGGAAACTAACATTCTCTCTCCATGCTTGAAACACACAGTAAAACATAACTGATTATGTGAAAAATTGACATTGGTATGAACTAACAAACAGGTCATATTTCAATTCCTTAGGCTCTCATAATGTCTTTTGTGGTATTTGTTTGCTACCCTTACATGTTGTACTGCATTCAAGAACTCGCATATAATTTAACACCTCTACATCTGCAACAATACCAGAAAATGAAACTGCAAATAAAAATTCACTAGAAAAGAATTTAAATGTTGTAATGGTTACTGTAGTCCAGTGTTTGGACCAGTCTGAGACTGTGATTATTTTGGTCATTCATAAAAGTTATTCTTTTGCTGGTGGCAATTCCTAAAAAAAGATTAAATTTAAGAGGACAGCCAACAGTGGGGAAACAGATGGAATAACAAATAAAGTAAATTGACTGTAAATCTCAGATTTAAAAAAAACAAAGCTTGAAAAGTTCCCTAGAGAATTATTTCTATAAACTGACTTCAGAAGTGCTCAGTGAAGATGAAGCAGTCTGTCAATGGTCAGTGGTCACAGGGTCTTCATGTCAAAGAGAACGTGACACCGACCATACATGGTGCATCCAGCACACAGTAAAAACGTTCTGAATTTTCTCAAATGTTTCTGAACTGTGAATCAGCCAAACATTTTTTAGATTTCTGAAAATCTGGGCATGGCAGCCAGGGTGCACAGTCAATGAGGTTTTTTTCTGTTTATACTGTAACTACCCAAATACCCCCCAGTAATCTACTACAATTCAAAGAGCACCCCCCAACACTGACCCCACATCCCT